CACTGTTCTGACATAAGTTGCTGATTTAATGTCACTCTACACCTCAAGACTTTGTCATCTGGTAGATTTTTGTTCCTCTTCCTCCCACCCCTCTCTCCACTTTAAACTCAAAGCATCTTTGAAGTTCACACACGGCTGATAATTGAGGCGGTGTGTGATCCTCTGAAAATAATAAAAGACTCTCATGTTATGGATTCAGTTTTAAAGTGAAACCACTACCCTGACCTGGCGCTTTGTGTAATCCTGTAATCCAAAACAGTAGGCTCAGAAGGCTTGTCCACTGTTTCAGAAGTTAATATTTCCCTTAGATGTCCATCTCTGTTGTATTTGGTCCTTCACAGAGAAGAAAAAATAAAAATAGAAAAAATAAAATTACTTGCCTCCATTTTAAACTGTTATTAAACTGTTTCATTTGCTGTATAACATTACAGTCTTGAGAAAGTTGAACAGACCATTTTTTGCATCCATCCATCCCATCCATCCATCCATCCATCCTCTTTCGCTTATCTGGGTTTGGGTTGCAGTGGTAGCAGCTTCAGGAGGGAGACCTAGACGTCCTTCTCCCCAGCCATTTGAGCCAGCTCCTTCCGGGGGAATCCCAAGTTGTTCCCAGGTCAGCTAAGAACCATAGCCCCTCCAGCCTGTCCTGGGTCTCCCTCTGGGTCTCCTCCCAGTGGGATGTGCCCAGGACGTCACCTGGGAGGTGAGATGTTTCTGCCAGCCTGGTTCTGCTGGATGTTTCTTCCTGTTAAAAGGGAGTTTTTCCACTCCACTGTCGCTACAAGCACGCTTAGTGTGAGGGATTGCATCCGACTCGATGCAATCAACTGGTTTTCCTTAGACAGAAAACGTTGAATCAATTTTACTGTACGATCTGGTGAACTGTAAAGTGCCTTGAGATGACGTGTTGTGAGTTGGCGCTATATAAATAAATTGAACTGTACCAGGGAGACGTCTAGGACGCCCTATAACCAGATGCCCAAACCGACTCAACTGGCTCCTCTCGACGTGGAGGAGCAGCGGCTCTATTCTGAGTCCTTCCCGGATTACATGTAATCCTTAAAAGAATAAAATATATTTTTTTAAAAAGGGAAATACACATAGCAGTATGAAAATGATTGTTAATGTTTTTCGCGTAGGAAGAGGTGTTTACATTTCTTTTTCTCTCCACTTCTTCTAGAATTGCAAACAAAACGTATTTTAATAAGGTTTTGCATGATTGACTACCATCATCTGTTGCACAACTGTGATGAGGAAGGAAAATAATACTTAGTTTTCCACAATTTTTTAAATGGTGTCCAAAACTAATGAGGGCTGCTGTCACTATGATTGCGCCAGATGATATCAAATGCAAATAACTGGAAAGTATTGCTAGGCTTTCTTGTCAGGAGACCAAAGATGGTGACTGTGGAGAAGTTGATGAGATTCACAGCTCAGCTCAAGCAACAGGATCACTAGATGTCAACTCAACATAACTGCCTTTTATGGAAGAGTGCCAAGAAAGCCAGTCTTGAGAGAAATAGAGATTAAATCCTGTTAAATGTACAGTAAATCTATATGGAACAATTGGTTTACTCTCTGACTAAATGCACCTTTAGATTATAATAGATTTTACTTCTACCTGAAAGGAGATTGATCTGCCAGAACTACGGCGACCATAAACATTCAGTCAGAGATCCGATAAAATGGTTTGGATCCAACTGAAAAGCTGTGTCCAAATCCTTATTAAGGCTTTGTTCAGTGAAAAAAGTATTGACACAGGAGAGAAGTTTATTTTAAAATATCCAAAAATAGTTCCTCTGAACAGTTGTGCACTTTCTTTTGTTTCAATCTATATGATAAAATCTCCCAAATATGTATGAAATATTTTGGTTGTAGCAAAATGTGAAAAGTCCTAATAATGAGATACTTGAGCAATAAATAAAATCAGTCTTTTGTCCAAATCTGTATAGTATTGCTTAGGGTTGCATATTTGTGTAATATTTGTGTCTAAGTGCAAAAATTTACCAATGATCTTTTTTTATTTTTGCAGAGTGAACATATAAATGCCAGTGTTCCTGTTTATCTGATCTAATGTATTCCAGATTTAAACTTTTGGATTCAAAGATTTCCTCATATTTCTATTTCTTCTTGTGAATAGTCTAGCTGAAATGTGTCGTTACACTGAAGAAAATTAACTTAATTTTGTTGTGAATTCGCATTTTGCAACATTCTTTGGTCACAAACCACAAATTCCTATAAATTTTGGGTGGATTTTATGAAATAGACCAACACAAGTTGGTGCATAATTTTGCTGTAGAGTAAAACTGATACAAGGACTTAAAGCGTGCTATGCATTGATATTCAGTTTTCCCTAGCACCCCTGAAATAAATCTACTGCAACCTATTGCCTCAGAATTCTGCCAATAGTTTACACTCGTAATGAATACTTATGTGAGCAGTTTTAAAAACATGCATGTAAACTACTATCCAGGCACATTTTATGTTATATGAGTGCAGATTTAATATTATGAGGCCCCAAATATATCACAACTGTGAGTCAATGCTCCTTTTCTGCCTTTTTTTTTTTGTTGTTTTTATGCGCCTATCCCCCTTTAATCACATGTGGACCTGTTTCTATAAGCTCATGTCAACTTTTGTCACTTCAAAGGCATTACTCCCCAAGACAAAGAACTTTGTCTGTTATTGCATGTTTGCATTTTTGGCCATGAGACATTCCTTACTTACTAGATCGTCTACCTGCGTAATTTGAGAGACGACCTCAGAGGTTTGTTAAAGATTATTATTAGGTGCATTTCCATCATGGTATCACATCAGAAAAGCTTGTTGGAAATGGCATAATTAAAAATCACCGCCTTAAATTCACTAAATTGTACTTATTCTAGCTTGAGGAGGTTTTCGTGAGAAAGAGTTATTGCACAAAACTGGAGATGGAAACCCAGCTTTGAGGTTGCAAACTTACCTGATGTTGAGTTATCATTCCTTTCTACTTTGTTTCCAAATTCTCCATCAACACATAAAATAGTCGTTAGATTTTTTTCTGGTTTGAAAAAGCGATAAACAGTAACAGTAGCTGTGTAACTCAAGAGTGCTGGGTCCATCGCTTAAAGGTACACTATGCAACCGGTGTTGATTTTCCAGCGAGGCTCCCCCCAGAGGGCGAAAGTAAAATTGCACTGTCGTAAATATGCACAGCTGTTCTCCTGGTTTCTCCGTCAAGCCAGGCGCGGTTGTTTTGAGCTTAGCAGACAGGCGAACACAACGAATGCACACACTGGACGCAGCTGGCGCGACAGAAGCAGCGAGTTTACTTACAAAGTCAAAGGTTGACGCGCGTCAAGGCGCAGCAAAAGGTCCCGCGGCGCGTTTTGAGCAGCAGGCGCAGCGCGTCTGAGCAGCTGAAGCAGCGCGTCGGGCGCGTTTAATGCTACGTTCGCTTTTATTATCCTGCTGCCTGCAGTTTGGATTATTTAGATGAAAAACACCTACCAGCTGCCGCGGTGAACCGCGAGGAGGCGACCCGGCCAGAGGCTGCTGATGAAGGGATTCCTACTGACAGCGCACCGCTGGTATGTGGGGGTCTGAGCGGCTCCGACAGAAAAAATATTGGAAGGCAGGATTGTAATCTGAATGAACTGACTGCACTGATTACGTTTTCAGGTGTATTTTCTCAATTAAAAACATATTAAAACTACTTTATTCCCAATGATCACAGCAAATATAGCTGCAAGGCAGAGAAAGGATAGTGAAGCTCCGCCCAACGCGCGTCAGACACACTTTTGCACCGCGCAGCCAGAGCAGCAAACGTGCTTCAGCCGTGCGTCAGAACTAACTGGTACAAGCAGCAAAAATGAAGCAGCAGTAGCGATTTTGCTGCGTCCGGTGTGAAAGCAGCACTGCACAAAGATCGCCACTGTGCTAGCAACGAGCATGCTTTTAACTGGGGGGTGTAGCAGTTCTCGCCGTAAAGCAAGACCGACTCTCGCGAGACTTCTGAGCCTGTGGGTGCGAGTCGGTGCTCCTGCAATTGCAAGTGCGGTATTTCCCCCACAGACCACCAGGGCGGCCGAGAATACCTTTGTTCAACCTGAAATGACTCATTATGGAACACATTAATTAACTGAAAAATGTTGCATAGTGTGCCTTTAATGAGTCATGTGACCCAAACTGCTGCTTTAAAATAGTCTGAGCTCCACCTAAACATGAGAGCTAACTACAGTAAGCTTAAAGTTTTTATTAGGCAAAAAAAACAGAAATTAATCTCACTTGATTGGATATATTGTTGGTACTTCAATTTAGGATTTAATCTGGAGAGATGAATGTGGCCTTGTTTTTACAAATAACTTTATGACGTCTCGATCTGCCGCTTCAAACCAGTCTGCTATCAGATTCAAAAACACATAGGAAGACCTTTAATTTTTTGATAGTGCAAAACGTTGAATTTACAGGTCAAGCACTCCTATTGGCTAAAAGTTACACAGTGCTGCTTTAAACTACATCCCCATAAACCCGGTTTATACAGTTTTAATGCTAAAAAAGGGAATTTGGGGGTGAGTTACACTTTAAACATGGCTGTTGCAGCGTTATGCTGCAAAGAAGCTGTTAGGAGTTGATTGGAAGATAAAAAAAGGAAACTGCTTCAAGGCTACTTAAGCTGGGAGATCACCCTCCACCAGAACAATGATTTTAAACATGCAACCTATCTGAAATGTATGTCCAGATGCTCTCCATCTAAACTGACCAGTCCTGAGGTATTTACAACAAAAATTGTAGGATTGGTAAATCTGTAGAAAATATTGTCACTAGACGTGGTACAAGTTGGTAAATAAACAAAAAAAAAAAAATTAACAACTAATTAAATGTTTTCACAGTGAGTTTGTCAAATAATTCTTGTTGAAATTCACTGATTCGTGTTTTGTGAAAACATTTTGAAATTTTTCAAGTTCTTTAGAGAATTTGCAGGTATTTCAAGTAACAATAATTTTACTCCCTGACCACAGGTGATAAGGTGACCATGTTTCCTGTGTTGGACATCGACCAGAATGAAATTGTGGATACCAACGGAGCAGGGGATTCATTTGTTGGAGGTATGAACATTCTATGCTAATCAGCTTACTATAGAATTACCATCATAAGGGCTTTTTTTTTAACAACACAAATGTTTCTATGGCTAACACCATAAAATCAGATTTATTCTGAAGTTCTTTGACTCTGAAAGACACTGATGACTTACCTCAGTTTGTCTTCCTCCTCAGGATTCCTATCTGCACTGGTCCAGGAGCAGCCATTGGAGGAGTGTATCCGGGCTGGACACTATGCAGCTAACGTCATCATCAGACGTGTGGGATGCACCTTCCCAGAGAAACCCGATTTTCACTGATGGATCCAAACTTTCATTCCCACAAGATGCTTACTGTACTGATTTGTATTCTTCAGGGTTTCGCCATTTTCGATTTCCTGTGACTGACGTTATCATAATAAATGCTGGAGCCTGACTGTCTTATCAGGCTCTAATAAGCAAATAAGACATTGTAATTTAATTTAAACCACGTTTTAGCTTTGCATATTGAATGGTGTTTATCTGTAAAGCCATGTTCATACATAAGATTGAATTAGTAACATAAACTGTATATCGTTCCATTGCCTTTTATTTTCATGTGGTAATTTGAAGGTACTCTACAATATAGTGGAAATTTATGGAAGAAACTAAAAAAGTGATCATACTGTGGGAACATTTCAATATTATCTCAGGAGAGTGATTCTAAGAATATGGTTTCTTGCTCCCTTCACCACTTGTGACCACGAAAGGCAAACAAACAGCCTTACAATGCTTTTCTCAACTGTTGCTTACAAATTCTTTGAAATGTTATTGATTAGCCAGTCACTAGTGGCTGACTTCTTCTGTGTTTGACTTTATGAGCCCTGAGGTGATTTTAGTGATGCAGAAGAAATGTGTTTACGGTTATATCCACATAAATCGGACCCCCTGTTGAAAATTTGTAAAAAAAAACCTTTAAATGAATATACTACAGTAACATAAAGTCATGATTTTTGAAAATACAACCCAAACTTTATTTGGGGAAAATTCATTTAATTAATGTTTGGATCATTTAAGTTGATTTAGCCATGAGCTATGTAGGAATTAACTGCTGAAAGATGATTAACTTTCAGTTTTCTTCTCAGAAGCCCCAAGATTTCCATTTAAAATGTCAGTGAGTGTAGCACTGCTTATTTATTTTATGAACAGATATTTTCTAACAGAGGATATTCTTTCCTATTAAATTAATGTACTAAAATTAAAAGGCGAGTAATGCTGCTACAATAATAGATATTTATTAAAGGTCTTTATACAAATCAGGTGTGTGGATAAGTGTAGAGGGCACTGTAATAATTGAAAGAATCAATGCAAGCTTACATTAACATAAAGTCTCATTAATGCTTCCTGTAGCTGAAGGTCTAATACTCTGATATAAAGATTCCCGATTTGCAGCTTAGCTGCTGCAAACATCATTAATAAAAGTACCACAATAGTAGGCATTGCATTCTTTAAGGGGCATATTTTATCATTTTATACCTTTAATTTAAACTAAAAAAAAAGCAGCTAGAAATTTGTTGAAGTGTGGTGATGCTAAATTTTAAACGCATATTTTTTTGCATCATCGCATGACATATTTACCACTAGAGGGGCAATCATGGTCCAAAAAAAAAACACTAATTAAAGTTTGTATAGTGAGGAGTTACATGGTGATCTATCCAGAGTGGAGGAAGGTGTGTTCTGTGTGGCCACTTGGATACTTTACAATCTGGCACCCACTAAGAGATTTAAAAGCGCACCATCTCAAGCCTAGACCAGCTGTATTTTTTGAAAGAGGAGAATTAATGCACACAACTAAAATCACTATTCAAAAAAACAATTTCTGCAAGTCTCAGTTATTTCCACATCATCAGTAAATGTTTTACTCATGGGGTTTAAACCACCACATGGTAATGCTGCAAAAATATCAGAGGTATTCTGAGGATGCAGTGATCATATAACAGGTTAAAGTCACAGCAGGAGCTCAATAATGTGACTGAACTGAGGCAGTATTATGTTGACAGCATTATATTGTTATAATGCAATACATGGATATCTATGCAATAGATGGATATCAAAAGATGTTTTGGATGATGGGGGATCTAAGGTAACAAAAACACCCACATTTACCTCTATTGTTAGGGCCGGGCTATTTTTCCCCCCTCCTTCAGTTATTGGTTGTAGCCATATCATTAACTGTTTTATATCTTCTTTCTTTGTGTTTGGGTTGTTTTCTACTCTTAAATCAGATTCAGATTAATGTTAAATGCTGGGTGAAAAACATTTCCTAAAGGAATGCTATTATTAGTGTATGAAGAAAAAGTTGTCCCCTTATTTTTGTTTTTCTCTTTGCTACATTGAACACAGACATGGAATAATCTTACTGATAATGATGCAGTTGTAAATGTCACACCCAAAATTTGACCTGGTTACAAAAGTGCTTTCTGATGTAAAAATGTTTTTAAAAATCACTTTTTTGGTTTTGAAAGACAACAAAAAGGCTGTTTTGGATTGAGTGTTTTGTTTTCCTTTTTTCTTTTTCTTTTTTTTTGCTTTAAAAGCTATGTTGTTCTTTTAAAGTTGCAGTTACAATAGCATCAAATTGGAAGGTTTTTCATAAACAAATAAAAAAGATTTTACAAAACAAAGCACAAGTAGTTTTTGAAGTCCTTATATTTAGTCAGCTAGACACCCCAATCTTGCATTATGGGAATTGTAACCTAGAACTGTGTAAAGACACCCAGCCTCCCCTCACCCCCATTGTTAGTTTGGGTCCAAACTGGACTCTGTCTGCAGGGCAGCTGGAGATCATTTTTCTCAGTTTAAGGGATTAGTGGTTGCTCTTCGCCACGACCATTAAAGGGACCTGAAAATTAGGCTGATCCTTGGTACCCAGCTGTGCCGTCGCTGGGGGTTGGAGCCTGGGATCAGAGGGAGCAACCCCCTTTTACCCACCAGCAGAAACTGTTGGCCAGTGTCTCAAGTGTTTGAAATAATTTGGCACTTATCTCTTTGACTGCAAAGGATGAAAATAACAGTTTTTGCTTCTATAGAACAGATTATGTCCTAGATTTATTTTTATTTTTTTGCTTTAACACACAATATCAAACCAGATCTTACAGGTAAAAAAAAAAAACTTTCGGCAGTCAAGATGTTACTAATAACTCCAACTCTCTCCTTCAATCAGCTTTTTTTTTTTTTTAAGGTTTTCCACAGATGCGCTTTGAAAAGGGCGGCCATTCTGATTGGACAAGATCACACTCCATGGCAGCTGGTTCATTTGCTTCTCAAGATGACAGATGGCAAAACACAAACACAAAAAGAGAGAGAGCCATGATTAAGTAATGAGGATGCCTGCCACAATGGGGGGAAACTACTTTTCACACTTTCACTGACAAACTTTGGCCCTGCTCAGTCAACACAGATCTGAAAACCAAAAATCTTAAACACACTTTATCAGATTTTTTTCATTTAGTTTAAAATTTGTAATTTTTATACTTTATTCAAAACATAAACTTCAGTCCACTTTGCAGTGACACATTTTTTCATTTAATTACATTCTCTAGATCAGTGACTTCACAAACGCACATATAGATATATTCACTGTTAATGATGAAGATGCTTGCAAAGGAGTAACTGGGGTCCTGGCCAGTGTTTTGCCCCGCAGATGGGCAGCAGTGTTTGTGAACACCAGTGTGGCAGTTGGCAGGAATTGAGGGGGGGAAGGGCAGACTGCTATGGCACATGCTCCAATTCAAATTATCCCTGGACCCATGCAGCAGTGGAGGACCTGCTGGGGCCCAGGGTGGCATTCATTACAGCCAGACACAGGCAGCTTTTTTTTTTTTTCTCTCTCTCCTGGTCAGTCTCTTTATCATGACGCCAGCCCATTAAAAGCTTTCAATTTAAATTCTCCTTATTCATATTTCACCTGCCTGAATTTATATATTTTTTTAATTGGCACTTTTATTATTTAATTGATTGGTATAGATGTCAAACAGTGTGCAGAAAAAAACAAAAACATAAAAGCCTTACAGTTCAATAAACACGTCTCAATGTTGATTACTGAAAATGGATCTTAAATTAAAGTTTTTATTTTTAAAGAGTAATACCTCACTTTATTAGGTAGATGGGCTAAATTGTTAAAGATGGATAGCAAATATTACGATCACAACTTATTGAGGTTCAAACTGAAGATTCAATTAATGTAATTTGACAATTGAAACTAAAGAAAATACATTTTTGACCTTTCTGTAGGAATCTCCACATTTAACCTAACTTCCAGTGACTGATATTATGAAAACACTGATCACATGAGGAACAAAACTTAAAGAGTAACTCAGCATTTTGAAAAAGGATGTCATACTTTACCCTAAGTTTAGAGTACCCCTCACTTTGGAGGCTGTGGTGATTATAATTCTTGGGTCTACAGAAGGATAATTGTAGGGGCTTATGTCTGGTAAAGGATTTACAGAGATCTCAATGGAGGTTTTAAAATCAACCACTCCTCTAACAAGTTTACCCTGAGAGCAAACTGCAAGATGCTAAAAGAAATGTCTGAAATCTTCAAAAAAAAAGTTACCACCAGCCATATAGCAGGGTTTTCAGAGTAGGGTGTTAAAGTCCATGCTTATAAAATCAGACTATAGAAGGTAAACTTTCTCAAAATGTGTGCTCTGTAGTAAAAACATGAACACCAAACTGAAATGTATATTAAAATCTAGACAAAAAGAATGATTTCTGGAATATTGTTCTTGAAAGGATAAATCTAAAGTTGTTTTTTTGGGGGGGGGATATCAGAGCAGAGCAGATGTTTGCTGTTCTTAGTACACCATTGCAGTAAAAATGAAACAAAAAACTCATACCAACTGTGAAGTACGGAGGTGGAAGTGTCACAATGTTTGGGATGTTTGGTAAAGCACGCCAGCTCTACACGGAAACAACCATGAGTTATACCGTGTAATGGAGGGGGATTGGAAAAAAAAGTTTATATCCATTTTCTTGCACACTTATCCCAAGTGAGGTCGCAAGGGGTGCTGGTGCCTATCTCCAGCTGTCAACGGGTGAGAGGCAGGGTACACCTCGGCCAAGGTCACCAAGGCAACACAGAGACTAACAGGACAAACAACTATTCACACACACACTCACACCTAAGGGGACTTTAGAGAAGCCAATTAACCTAACAGTCATGTTTTTGGACTGTGGGAGGAAGCCGGAGTACCCAGAGAGAATGCAGAAAGACCCCGGGCCGGGAATTGAACCTGCAAGGCAGCAGTGCTACCCACTGCGCCACTGTAAGACCTGAAAAAAAGAAATGCTCTGCGGCATTATCACCCCATACAAATGAGATACGCTTAGAGATCAGAAGGTCGGGCTGTTTCAAAGGGCAGATTTCTGTAATGTAAAAACAAACAGTTCAATCAGGTTCACTAAAATCTGAAAATAATTTATGTCTGGATTTTAGCTGTAGCATTCAAATGTCATCATTTGACGTAAGCATAGACTATTTGTCTATGTAAGATATTATACCCATCACTGTTCCCAACAACCTCAATAAGTTGTTACATTCATGCTGATTTTGCACAGTTTCTACCTTAGTTAGTTAAATAACATGCTGCTGTCATTTTGCACATCTCTGATGTTGCTGCTATTTTCAGATAATGTGAAAATGTCCATGTTTGTTATTGGTTATTTATTCTCCAGGTTCACGGTTTTTATATTTTTAAGACAGTATTTTATTGTTTATCTTTTAACTCTCCACTATTATGTTATTCTTATACATTTTACATACCATTTTTTTTTATAATCTTTTGGCTGCTGTAACGCCAGAATTTCCCTGGAGCTGGTGGTGCAGTGCTTTGGGAAATGGGTTCTTTGTACTCTTTTGGTCTGTTATTACTTATGATCATGTTCATCCCTTTAAGACCAGTGTGGAT